TCCCACTTGTGGCAACCTTTGGATGAGTTTCCCAAGTACAGAATACTCAAAAGTTGTTCACCATTTCCTTCTGGGGAAATGGTTGCCCAAGGCTACGCAGGCTGGCTCTTCTCAAGGAGGCACAGTGGAGAATCAAATTCTCAACTCCTGGCTCTATAGCCACGTGCTCCAACTCATTTAGTTCTGAGAAATTTGGAGTTGGCTGGGGTAAGGCTAAGCAGGGTTTAAGGCCTTCTCCCATTAAATTCTCTTGCAGACCAGATGCCCAAGATGCAGCAAAAGAAAAAAGAAAAAGAAAAAGAAAAAGAAAAAGAAAGGCTCAGCACTTCCACAGCACAGTCTCTCACCAATGGAGGCCATTGTGACATCTGGAGGAAGCCCTTGGAGCATCAGAAGCAGCTCTCCATCTCAGGCCTCAGACTGGCTAATTCCTCCAAATGCCAGTCTCTCCATTCAGCCAGGAGACCCCATCATCTACCTGTCCCCAGAGACAACAGACCCACATAGAGTCTGCAGGAATCATTTGTCCACCTCTGCAGTTCCCTCTTCCTTCCATGGAGAGGGAGCTGACCATCAGTCAGTTGCAGTCCTGCTCCACTGATGTTGGGAATCTATGTGTCTTGTTGGTACGGGGGCAGTGGCTATTTCTTGGTATCGTCATAATTCAATTGAAATAAAGAGGAGCCATGTGATCAATACAAATGCAAAAATAGGTAATACCATTATAGACCACTGGAAAAAAAATAATCATACAGTCCATGAACTTTTGTGAATCAAATACTTCTTCAGGCTGTACCAGTGTGAAGAACTTCACAATCCAAAATTTCATGGCATGATGGATTTTGCCAGGAAATTAGGTATTGTAAGACTCATTCTAATTTTTGTTCAAAGAAATTAATAGGGCTTCGCTCTGAAAACTATGGAGTTTTTACTGGATGCTCAATGGCTTTGTATCATAAAGTTAACGTTTGCTATATGACGCCCCATGAATTAGAGCCCTCCGAAAGGTTCCTATCCTAAACAGCCTGGCTCAGATCTTGCAAGCTAAAGGCTGTGGTTTCCTTTATTGAGTCAACCCATCTAAAATGACCAAGCATAGGGATGCTTGCAGGAGGACTTTTCATTTGGGTGGACCCTATTCCAAATGTAGATGAGATGTAGAATGTTTTTTGTTTTAATACTGGGGTTTTAATTGGTGGGTGTTTTCAAGCAACTATGTGTGTTTTATTGTCTAATTCACCTTGAGTTTTCAAAGCTCAAAGCGGGCTGAGAATCCAAATGAATGAACAAATATTTGTTCAGAGCCTTTAAAGAGTTAAGCTAAAACCAGATGTGTTTATGCAAGAAATTGCAGCATTTTAATTTTACCAGATTCTTCTCACCAGTAATGCGTTTATTTGCTTTCATTCTTGCATTGCCTCGTTTTAATTGATTGTGACTTTATTGTTCTAACTTGCTACAAAACTTTTGAAAGTTAAATATGGTATGAACATGTTTTTTTTGTAAATAGTAAACCCCTCAAAACTTTTCCTGAAGAAAAATAAATTATTTTCAAGTCTTACTGATGTCTCAGTTTGAAATATGTAAAACATATTCAGTGAAGTTCCAGTGAAAATAAATGGGACTTCAAGGTATTAGCTTTGTCAGGATTGTTCCTTAAGTAGTAGCTAAGCTACAGGTCAGCAAATTGCCAGTTCAGCTGTCACCTCTGCTTGTCCTCTTAGCCCATCGCCATACACATGGGGGATAATAATAAACAATACTGACTGAGCTTACAGGATGGTTATCAAGCTTATTGAGATAATATGTGTGGACCCCTTTGAGAACGCTAAAGCTCTACGTAAATACTGTGTATGACCTCTACTGTTGAGACGACAAGCAGAGAATATAGATGGTGTATAGGCTGGAGGGAATTCCCAGTCTGTCTGTTTTTTTTAGATCTTAGTCCTTCAGAACAAGGCAGATAGAGTGCCTTCAGGCAAGGCCTTGCCTTCATTACAGTTTTTTATGGGAGGTCCAGATATTGTCAGTTCTCACTTGCAACCATTAACGTTTTCTCATCATTTCTTCCATAATTTTTATTGCCCCACCAAATGTTAATCAGTGAAAGATGGAATAACTCCATTGTACCATTTTATTGGTAGCATTGCTTGTGGGGATTTGAAGCTGGGGATGTATCTACAATATACATGGCTCCATTCTACAACTGGGCTTTATAGCTTCCTGAGATGCTTAGAATTCTTTGATGCACAGCTCTGATGAATTGTCCCCTGACTACACCAAAACGTTCTAAGCAATTCATCAGACTGCAAATCTCAGGATCCCCTAGTTGTGGTAAATTTTCACATGGAATTATAGCTTCCCATTCCAGATTTAGAAATGACTGTGTGCAGGGGATATGAGGAAGAATAATTATTATACAGAGTAATGGTAAGGGATAATGTTGGCTTTCCTCCTTTGCAATACTGTTAAGTAGTAACATGTTTCACCCTCATTCCTCCTGGCAGTGAACAGACCTCTGATGAGGAATAAGCAGTGATGGGAAGAGTTTAAACAGGAAATATTTGTGTGAATCCTTCTCTTGAATGCACAACTTAAGATAGTGAGGGAGTCTGAGTATTTCAGAGAAGCCAACAGAAAGGTGGAAGGCAGCAGGAAAAGAGGAAGGCCAAATAACGAATGGAGTGACTCCCTAAAGGAACCACAGGTTTGGGTTTACAAAAGCTGAGCAGGGTTGTTAAGGACAGGACATGTGGGAGATCCCTCATTCATTGGGTTGCCATAGGTCAGAAGCAACTTGACAACACATAAAATTTGGGTGAATGCAGAAAGAAAGAAAAAGGTAAGCAAGAACTTACACTGATCACCTACAAGTGTAAAAAAACCCCGCCTAATATCATGTAGGTCCCCTCATGCTGCCAAAACAGCTCTGATGTACTGAAGCACAGAATCTGCAAGACCTCTGAGTGTCCTGTGGTATCTAGCACCAAAACATTAGCAATAGATCCCACAAATTGTGAGGTGGGGCCTCTATGGATCAGATCTGGTGTTCCAGCACATCCAATAGATGCTCCATTGGATTGAGCTCTGGGGAGTTTGGAGGCCAAAGTAACACCTTGAACTCTTTGTCATGTTTCTTAAGCCATTCCTGAACAATTTTTGAAGGGAATACCATTGCCATGAAGGGGTGTACATGGTCAGCAACGATCTCTAGTTGGGTGGTGTATGCCAAAGTAACATTCAGATGAATGTCAGGAGTTGGTGCTGCTGAAAGCAGCCACTGCTTTCAGGGAATACTGTTGCCATGAAGGGGTGTAGGTGGTCAGCAACAATCTCTAGTTGGGTGGTATATGTCAAAGTAACATTCAGATGAATGTCAGGAGTCAGGACCCAAGGTTTCCTAGCAGAACATTGCTCAGAGCACAGCACTGCCTCCATCGTCTGGCCTTCTTCTCATAATGCATCCTGCTGCCATCTCTTCCCCTCCTCTCCTTGTAAATGACGAACACACACCTGGCCATCCACCTGATCTAAAAGAAAACATGATTAATCAGACTGTCAGATTTAAATGGGAAATGGTTGTTGTGGGTTTTCGAAGAAGAATAAGAGTGTCCTGCGGTATCTGGCACCAAAACATTTGCAGTAGATCCTTTTAAGTCCCACAAATTGTGAGGTGGGGCCTCTATGGATCAGATCTGGTGTTCCAGCACATCCAATAGATGCTCCATTGGATTGAGCTCTGGGGAGTTTGGAGGCCAAAGTAACACCTTGAACTCTTTGTCATGTTTCTTAAGCCATTCCTGAACAATTTTTGCAGTGTGGTATGGTGCTGCTGAAAGCTGCTGTCCTCTGAAGATGCCGGCCACAGAGACTTGCAAAACGTCAGGAAGAACAACCTTCAGAACACGGCCAAAGAGCCCGAAAAACCCACAACAACCATTAGATCCCGGCCATGAAAGCCTTCGCGAATACATTAAATGGGAAACATCTGAACACCTTCACAGGTCCCCAAACTTTTTGCACACAATTGGCAAGGAACTGAGGTTCATTGGCCCACTCATGATCTTCCAGATTTATGGGGGTGTTGGGTTGGTAGTCATGGTCAGTTGCTGGTGACCTGGTTCTCTCCTCACGTTAAACATATTGGCTGGTCTAAGAGTCCTGAATATCAAATGCTGATTTGTCATAGTCATGTCCTCAACCATAGGTGATCTTCTGGAGGAATTTTTGCCCGAAATTCTCAGAACAGGGACAGATCTCCATAGCATCAATGAGTCTTGGGAGCCTGCAACCCTCATGCCAGTTCACCAGTTCTCTTTCCTTGCACCACTTTTGGGAGGTACAGTACTAACCTGCCATTTTGGAGACACACTAACCCAGTTGCCTAGCCATCAGTATCTGGCCCTTCTCAAAGGTGCCATTTGTAACAATATAATCAATGAGATTTGCTTCACCGAGTCAGTGGCTTTAGTGTTGTGGCTGATCAGTGTAAATGCTGCCATTTGCTCATGAGTAGCTATACTTTATAAATTAGAACTGTTCTTCTGTGGAACGGTTTGGAAGCTCCGTTTATTATCAGTAACGACTTTTGCTTCTTCTCCACCGTAGGTCTATATACTGTAATCCGAAACTGAAGGAGAGTTCCGATAGATTAAAAAAAAAAAACCTCGCCGTGTTTCTACATTTTTAGTATGACTCAACTCGGAATTCTGTGCGAAAAAACAGAGGCTGTAATCACGAAATGGGCATTTTCAATGACGATGGGTATCTTTTAGCCCTTGTCCCTTTTGTACTTCCTAGCCATTAGAGCGCAGGGCGGAGTGCTCATGCATGCCGGAAGTATTGCTCGGAAATGCAACAGAACCAGATTCCTTTGAATAGCTTCCACTCGCTGTCCCCTGGCGGTCCTCAAGTCGCCCTCCGAGGAAGTCTACCGTGGCTTATCTCTATGGTTTCTGCTTCCGGTGGGCGTAGCTTCTCTCTTCCCTTTCCGTTTCTCCTTGAAAAGATGCTTTCTAGGCTCGAGGCTCTCTCGCTCTCTATGATGTGGGGAGGTGTTTGCCTTTTGTTCTTAATATAGGAGCGCTTTAAGCTGGCTTTCTTCCGGGGTGGGCGGGAGGTGCTTTCGGTGATGGCGGACGAGGAAGGCCAGTTGGATCTGGAGCCTTGCGCTTCTCGTCTGGAGACGGAAGCCGAGGCTGGTGGTGACAGCGAGCTGCTGGACTGTGGGGTGCCCATTGAGTCCAATGGCTACACGCTATACAGGTAGGCAGAGGTGGGGTTTGGGTTAAAAGTTTAAGCGCTGCAAAGCTGTTCAGAAGTGAGCTCGTGTAGCCCTAGTTGGGTCTACTCTCGGGATTTTCCTTTTTAAAATAACTTTTTTTTAATGGTTAAGCGTCTTTTCATACTAGGGCCACTCTTATCTTTACTGGAAGTAGCTTTGATTTCTTTTAGACGAATGTGAAGTATAAATGCTCGAATACACAAAAAGGTTGCCTTTTTGGTAGTGCTTGACTTCTAAATTGGAGGTGGCGCTCAGATCTCCCTGGAAATAGTCATGCTCTATAATATTCTAGGTGGTACCCAGTGTGGTGTAGTGTGTCAGAGTAGGACACAGAAGGCCTGAGTTCGAATTCTCGCTCAGCCAGGGCAACCCACTGGAGGAGTGGAACAGGTGCTTCGATGCAGAAGGAAGGGCACTGTGATTCTGCTTAGGGACTGAATGTGTTTCTGACTATGGTTGGTACTCAAAACCGGTGCTGGCTACTACAGAATCCATCTGTAACAGCATGTGTAGTGGCCCTATTTCTTTGCAAAGGGGTTTTTCTAGAGCGAAACTGTTCTAGTTTCTAGAAATAACCCTTTCAGAGTCAGAAGTTCTTCCTTTTAATCCCTGATGTATGAGGGCTCTGTAGTAATACAGTGGTGAGAAAAAAAATGCAGTTCGTAACTTGTTTGACGAACCAGTCTGTCTTTGTGTGTTGTGTGAATCTTGGTAGGAATTAAATCTGGGCCATATGTACATGCGGATGAAACCCACCACAGCCAGTATAACCAGCAGCCAGTGCTGTGTGTAAAGAAGCTGTTAATGTTCCTCAGTTCCTAGTGTGCTGTTTGTATGTGAAATTCACATTTTTTTCTGATCCCTCCAACTATGCAATATCTTTATATTTTTTGCTAGTTTTCTAAACTTGAGAAGCTGTGTATTTTCCTGTAAATACTCCTAAGAGCTTGCTTAATGGTCCCAAAGCATCTTCCAAATAATAATAGCTAGAAGACCACCCCTCCTTTTTGCATAAATACTACAGTATTGATTTCCCAACTCAAATACATATGTGGGTTGCATATATCTTGAAACTGATCCCCCCAGACTGCCAGTAGGGCCCACTGATAATTAGCTTTTAGAGGCAACTGGTAATAGTAATTTGATGGACTCTTTGGTTAAGTGCATCATATAAATAGCAACTATTTGGTTCTTTCCTTCTGGCTACCAACTAGTTCACTTGTTCACTAAGCTTCTGCCAGTTGTCTTTAATTTTATAACATTAAAATGTATATTATAGGAAATATTTCAAAACACAACTTGAGTGACCAAGCAAACGAATCTTACAAATAATTTAGCTTGAAAATACTGTACAGTTTAATTGTAATACAGTAATTGGATGGATATAATTATGAAACTTTAAATAGGTAGGTTCATTCTGTGTGAGTGGAAATGAATACTGGGGTGGAGGGAGAAAAAAAGATCAACAAAAAAAGAGAGTTGTCAGGAGGAGAAGGAGAGATGACATTGTGGGTGTGAGCAATGTGTTTCTAATATGGACAAAGTCTGGTATGTTTGTTAGTAATTGTGTAAAATAAATAAATCTGGTGTTCATAAACTATATGAACTGCTGGACAGCTCAGTGGTTTAGGTATCTGGCTGCGGAGCCAGAGGTTGGGAGTTTGTTTCCCCACTGTGCTTCTCTGACAAGGAGTGGATGTGATGATTCATAGGCCTCCTTCCAGATCTGCAGTTCTGAGATGATGATAATTCTGGCATAGAATTATCATCAATTAAGCCGTTTCCATGAGTGGATATAGCCACAGGGCAGTGGAGGTTTGAAATCAGAGTTTTCCTTCTCCTAGATAGGCTGCCTTCCAAGGCTGAACAAGTACCACCTACCCGGCCTGTTCTCTAATAGTGCAGAAGTATGATCCGATCCAACCCTTAAAACTTTCCTGCCTCCCAGGTGTATGCAATTCTAATTGGCTTTCCTATTTACCATCTTGGGGTCAGAGATAGAATCAGAGAATTTGAGAATGGCACCCTCATTTAAAGTAGAAAGCCCCACCCCCTAGGCCCCACCCCCAGGCCATGTGGTGGGGGAGACCAAAAGAAAGTCCAGCAAAAAAATTCCTCAGCAAAATGTCCATGCAAGCATACCTGGCCTTCATTTTAACCTAGAGCAAAATCTGGAGCTAGAGTCCCGAAGGCAGTTCATGTCGTTCTGCCAAGTCCTGCGACGTTGCTGGAACCAGGTGTATTGGCTCTTGCCTCTCCATTGGACTATTTCAGCGACATGGAGAGGGGGGATTTGCTGCTTGGGTAACAGCTTATCCTCCATATTACTTTACCCAGGCTTCATGCTCTGGAGAGGACACTCCTCGATTCAGAGCATGTTACCATAGTCTCTCAAGACTGAAGGATGCCTGTTATTTGGTCTTCTTGATACAGTGGAACTCTAGGCCATTTCAGACAAACAGTGGCTCCGCTAAATTTATCTTTGATTATTATTTGTTCTTGCTTGTAATTAAAAGAAGATACTCTTATATGGTACAACTTTGTTATACAAATTAACAGGATTATTCAAAATATTCTGAATATGGAGCATGTTTTAGAAGTGCACATGTCAGACTGACTGAAATTATAGGTATAGTTTTGTGGTAGTACTCCTATATGGTACAATTTGGTTATACAAATTAACAGGATTATTCAAAATATTCTGAATATGGAGCATTTTTTAGAAGTGCACATGTCAGACTGACTGAAATTATAGGTATAGTTTTGTGGTTTGCTTCCAACTCTCTCCACAAAATTGCCAAGTACAAATGAACCCAACTTCTGAAAAGGATTCTGTCAGAAATCAATTATATGGCACTACCAGCGCTTGGTTTCCAGGCAAAATCCTCCTTGCGTTATCTTCATATTTTCTTGTTGGTAAATGTTTTGTTTTGTTTTTACAGGGATAGGAAAGAATGGGCCGATGTTGAGCCAGTTCCTCAAGATGATGGGCCACATCCTGTAGTTCAGATTATCTATAGGAATTCAATTATATGGCACTACCAGCACTTGGTTTCCAGGCAAAATCCTCCTTGAGTTATCTTCATATTTTGCATATTTTCTTGTTGGTAAATGTTTTGTTTTGTTTTTACAGGGATAGGAAAGAATGGGCCGATGTTGAGCCAGTTCCTCAAGATGATGGGCCACATCCTGTAGTTCAGATTATCTATAGTGAAAAATGTAAGTTTGGGGATATTTTAGTAAACAAATGGGTCACCTACCTAGCAGTGGGTATATTGATTAAACAATAGGCACAAAAATGGAGTTGTACTTGAGTAGATCAAATAGGACCATTTACCCATCCTAGTTGATGTTTCCCCACAATCTCTTCTTTTATCTGGTTCATGCATACTAGTTTTTTAATCTTCCAGGATTTTTCTATCTGTTTCTGTAGGTCTCTTACTCACTTGTGTCTTCAGATATTTTATCATATTGTATTTCTATGGCCAAAGGGCTAACACATTGAGTGTGTTAAATATAGACCACAGTCTGTACACACTTAGTAGAAATAAGCTCCACTGAACATTCTCTTATTGGTTTTATTGTAATTCAAATATAGAGAAGAGCTAACTGGATTATTTGAGGCATGAGGTAATAACTGCATGTGCTCTTAGGAGTAAGCTGGGGTCAAGATTTTTTGACTCTCTACCTGCTTAGTTGGAAACTAAGATGTAAAAAATTGCAACCAGTCTTTCAATCTCAAATAAGAGACACCAGATTTCCTGTCCCGCAGATATATTTAGGCATGCTCCATATAATGCTGTATCAGTGAACAGAAACCAACTAGACTCATCTAGTTTACTACTTGATATTGTACTTGGAAAGAAGCACCAAAATAGTACTTGCTCTTAAATTCAGCTACCACTGTTTCATAAGATCATGGTTGTTACTTTGCCTTCAACATACATGTAGAATCTTTAAATGAGTAACAGAGGGCTGTTGCTCATTTTAACTGCCATATCTTAATTATTTATACGTTGCCATCTTGGACTTTTTGGTTTTTGGTTTTATTGTTTCTAAATTTGTAAACCGCCCACAGTAGACCCTTGATCAGATGGGCCGGATAGAAATCTAATAAATAACCATATCTTAATTATTTATACGTCGCCATCTTGGACTTTTTGGGTTTTGGTTTTATTGTTCCTAAATTTGTAAACCACCCAGAGTAGACCCTTGGTCTAGATGGGCGGGATAGAAATCTAATAAATAAATAAACAAGCCCTTGCCTCTGGGAAAGGAGTGGGAGGCAAGGGTAATAATGGGATACATATGAGTGAGTCTGGTCTGCTTAGTTTTAAAAAACAGGGAGAACTGGATTATAATTTTGTTCTGAGGGCCGATTTGAAGGAGAAAAGGTAGCAGTGTATTATGGGAAAGTTCTGCCTATAAGGGGCAGTGAAGGGGAAATGGTGTAGGCATCCAGGGGAGCAGCTGTGGTACAAGAATTGGAGGAGTGAAAGTCAGAGGCAGACTGTAGGAGAGAAGATGGCTTGGAACTCAAGGACTTTGCACTAAATGGGGAGCCGGTAGAGGAGCTCTGAAAGAGAAGCGTTACGTTTTTTGTAAGTACAGGTCAGGATGACCATAGATGATAGCGATTTTCGCAGTAGAGTTTGCGACAGAGATAAGAAAACTCTGATGTGACAAATGTAAGCCACAGAGTGAGTTGATGTAGTGCATTTTTATTTGTCTAGTTAAAGATGTATATGATTATTTCCGAGTGGTTCTGCAACGTGATGAAAGGAGTGAAAGAGCTTTCCAGTTAACGGGGGATGCCATTGATCTTAATGCTGCGAACTATACAGTCTGGTAGGTATTGTTGCTGACTTTTCATCTGTTAATAATTTAGATTTTTTTAAATATTCTTTTTAAATTCCTCTGCCAAATTTTTGATCAGCTAGAGCAGTGGTTCTTAACCTTTGTTACTCAGGTGTTTTTGAACTGCAACTCCCAGAAACCCCAGCCAGCAGAACTGATGCTGAAGGCTTCTGGGAGTTGTTTTTTTAAAAAAATATTCTTTTTTAATTCCTCTGTCAAATGTATGATCAGCTAGAGTGTCTAGACATATTTCAGGAAGCAGCTGAACATGTTGTAGCTGTTCAAAAATGTGACAGCTGGACAATAAGCTGAAGCAAGCTGAGGATATCAAATAATATACTACCTGAAAACATTTTTCAAGCCGAATGTTCCTGTTGTATAAACACGTAACGTGTTATGTAACATATTGTCAAGTACTGGCTAATTACCTTGCTAAATGATAGTTAAGCATTCTGAATTTTCTGAGATCTAGTTTTTCTGACCTACAGCATTGATTGTGAATCAAAATTTAAATGTGCGGATGCCCAATTGAAAATGAACAGGGATCTTTCATCTGGATTTATTTCAAATTAAGTTGCATTGTATGCGTCTGCCTCTGCTTATTTGCCAGCAGGCTTGCTACTTCCTTTTTCAATGCAAAGAAAGGATATAGAGCAGGCAGGAAGGCCTTCCATATGCAAGAGCAACCCTCCCAATCCATATATCAGCTCTGTTAGTTCTGTTGTTTGTAAGAAGGCATTAAAAACATTCTTGACACAATTCATCCCCAGAAGAAAATGCCCAATCCAATTAATTGTTTTGCTTTTAAAGCTTTGTTTGATTCATTTGAATTATTTTAATAGTGAGTTTTGTGTTATAAAAATATAAGAAGGGAAAAGCATCTAAGCCCACTATCATTTCCCTTCTGTATAGGCACTTCCGTAGAGTTCTTCTGCAGTCTTTGAAGAAAGACCTACATGAAGAACTCAGTTATATCACAGCTATCATTGAAGATCAACCAAAGAATTATCAAGTCTGGTAAAGTATGACTTCTCTTAACAACACAAGTTATTTCTGTGGTCAGGAAGTTCCTATTTGGTGGATGTTCTTTTCTCAATTAAAGATATACCGTATTTCACTGAAAATAAGACAGGGTCTTATATTAATTTTTGCTGCAAAAAAAAATGCATTATGGCTTCGGGAGATGTTTTATTTTACAGTCATGTCATCTTCTTTTGGTTGCTGCACAATGTTGCACAGTGGTGGGGGTGGGGTTTCACTTAACTGGGGCTTATTTTTGGGATAGGGCTTATATTACGAGCATCCTTAAAAAACATACTAGGGCTTATTTTCAGGTTAGGGCTTATTTCGAGGAAACGCAGTATTCCTGCTATTCGGGATATTGGTGAAGAAAGAATTCTATAAAGTAGCTTTCAATAATTTATCCCTCTGATATTGTTAATCATTATTTCATTTTTCACTTTGTGCTTTTTAAAAAAACTTTTAGGTCTAGATTGGTGAATCACCATAGTGATTGTATTGTTATGTGGGGTCATGAATTTTAATTTGTAAACTGCCCAGAATAGTGTTTCCATTAGAGGGGTGGTATATACTGTAAATCAATTAAGTAAATAAGTAAGGTGCAGGATTTTTTTTAATGGAGGCTGCAGCATGTGAATCTGATAGGGTATCATATGACAAGTATATTTTAAGATGATTGGAATTCTGTGTTTATGATGATGATGATTACACAATAGAACAGAAAGTGTCTACTGCCCTGTTCAACAAAAGAAAAAAAAGTAGGAGAGGAATGTTGAAAACTGGTATAAAGAATGACAACAGTAAGTTACACTTTTCAGCTAACAGCATGCTTTCATCCAATAATTTCCAAGTAGAATGAGATCAAGGTGATTTAACTTGCAGTGAGCAAGAGCACAAGATATAAAACAGAAAATGCAACTATCAATGACAAACTGTTGCCCTTTTTCTTCAGTATAATTGCACTGAACTCTTTTGTTATTTTCCGGTAAATACAGCGACATTGTGTAGGATGAAGTTTTAGCATTTTTTCCCTAAAAAGTGTGAGTAGTAAAATAGGCAATTAAGAGGGTGTTCTCTTACAAAACAAGGACTTCTTAAACTTTTAGGCACCACAGACGGGTGTTAGTGGAGTGGCTAAAGGATCCATCCCAAGAGCTTGAATTTATAGCAGACATCTTGAACCAGGATGCCAAGAACTACCATGCGTGGCAGCACAGACAGTGGGTCATTCAGGTATTTCAGTGTTGCTCTTATTAACAAAATGACTGCTTTTATCTGGGCTGGGATGTTTGTGTGGAAGGAAAGCTTGTATCTTGCAAGTAGCCCTGAGTGAGCTACCCACAATTCTTTCTTTTAAAGGTCAGATCATCTAATTTGAAGGACATAATTTGCACTGTTGGTGGTGTCATTTCCAGCTGTACCATGGCATCCAAGATGCTGTTTCACAAGCTGCTCATAAGTCCATGATGTTCATTGTCTCCATCTCACTTTTTTCCAGATGTTATATTCCTCTTGAAGTACATTCTGATTTCCCCCAAGTTGTAGAATTGTTTCATTTACAGTTATATGTAGAAATGGGGAAATTTTCCCAATGTACTTCCTCTTTTAGTATTTCTCCTTCTTTTGTGTCTTCAGGAATTTAAACTATGGGATGATGAACTGGATTATGTTGAACAGCTCTTGAAAGAGGATGTCAGAAATAATTCTGTCTGGAACCAAAGATACTTTGTAATTTCAAACACAACTGGTTATGATGATCCTGCTGTTCTAGAGAGAGAAGTCCAGTAAGTAATTCAATACAGTGGCTTTTAATTTATGGTATATATACCACTGGTGGGATACAGTAGTATGGGTAGGACTTTTTTTTTTATGTACTCTCCTTCATCTCTGTTCTTGTGCAGGTATGGTCTACTGACCTTCCCTGCTACATATTACCCATCTGTGAGTTTTTGACATGTTAGCATCAAAATTCTGGACACTTAGGGTTCCTCTGAGTCCCCTCTTTACCTCTTCCTTTCAAATTACTATAATAAATATGATAGAATGTCTGTAAGTATATAAATGTCCTTCTTTGGAGAAGGGTGAAGTGGCCCTCTTGTTTCTACCATGGTGGGACCCAGGCTCATTGATAAGGTGACTACTGGGATATGTTTTAGGAAAGGCTGGTAACCATTGCTCTAATATTCGGTTTTATCTAGAGTCATTTTCTGTCACAAATGCAGTAATTAATGCATTGTGGGTCTTCTGAAGCTTGTTGTGTTCCTGTATAACCTAAATCAGTGGTCCCCAACCTTGGGCCTCCAGATGTTATTGGACTTCAACTCCCAGAAATCCTGGCCAGCAGAGGTGAAGGCTTCTGGGAGTTGTAGTCCAAAAACATCTGGAGGCCCAAGGTTGGGGAACACTGATCTAAATTGTCCATGTGTGCATCCTTTTATAGCCCAAATGAAAGTGTCTGCATACCACGGGGAAAGTATTTGTACAGGGAGCCCTGTGATTTGCAGAACTGAAGAATATCTGAGGGCAGAATCACTACACATGAGGAAACCTTACAGGGCTGAACATGTCTAGTGGACAGCATACTGAGTAATACAGGAATACTTGTTAGAGAAATTAAAAAGGGAAATAGAATAGTGTGTGAGATCCAGAATGCAACACTGCAGTAGTTTATTTCAGATCTGGATTATTCTTATGTTACTTTTCTTCTCTTTCAGTATCTTGAGGGAATAAGAGCAGGGGTTTTTTAGAACCTAAGATGCGTTGGATATTGAAAACCTTCTGAAATCAATAATCGTTTATAATATTTAAATAAACAATAGCTTGAGGCTTCTTTTCTCTCTCTCTCTCTCCTTGTTCTTCTGAAAGGATTTAGGAAGGATTAGTTTTCCTTGTAGAAATTTTGCTGTTATTTTATCTGTTGAAGAGATTTATGGGCATGTGTAACGTACTGTCCCATGTTCACTGTATGCATGTGTTTATGTGCACACATGGGTATCTGCCACATAAAACTGAAAATGCTTTGACGTTTGTGGACTACATATGTTTTCACTGCTTCTTCATGAAATACTTTGTTCTCCTTTTAAGGTATACACTGGAAATGATCAGGATGGTGCCTCATAATGAAAGTGCATGGAACTATTTGAAAGGGTGAGATGATATTTGTTAGTAGATGTGTTTGAACTTACTGAAGCACAGGAAAAAATGGAAGAATATGATGCTGGGAACAGTATTTAATATTTTTTAAACATGATTCTGGCACTTTTGCCTGCAAATGGAATGTTTTAAAATATGTAGGCAATAGATGCATGAAACCATTTAAGTCAGTGCGGCAGCACAGCCAGGTTTCCTGTATCTGGGGGTGGGACCTTAGATGCCTTGCTCTTCTCCTAATTACCAAACAGTTGGTGCAAACAAGTAATACATAGTTTTTCATTTATAGTATGTTCTTGAATTGTCCAGATGTTTCATGTTAAGAAGCACTGCGTTCTCCCTGCAGGCTAGCTAGATTGACATCCGTTCCTTTTTACTGTTGCGTATGCACTGCAAAATTTGTCAGTTCAAAATTTTGTCTATTCAGGTACTATAAAAATGAGTAAAGCTTCCCTGTTGCAGAGAACATGTGACCATATTATCATTTAAGATTTTTTTAAATGTTAAAAAGTAACCTCAAAAGTCAGTCCAAAAAGGGATGGAGGGATGAGAGTTAGATAAATGGTCTACAGTCTAGCTGCCACGTTTAAAAAAAACTGATCTAGGGGGCAACTGATTATTTAACTGAAGCCTTAGATGTCCTCCTTGCCTTCTGGGGGCCCGCATGGCCCTAAATTTTTGAGCTGGTGAGACTTAAAGTAGGAAACAGAAGATAATGAGATTATTCTATTTCTATTACTTTCTGGAGAGGTGTCTATTTATATTTATAAATGTTTGAGCATTTAAATGAAGGAAACAGACCTCTGTTTATACACCACCATCTGGACAATTATCTTTGAAATCAAGTCTGTTGTGACAGAGCTTTCTCTTCTGGGTTAGGAGAAGCTTCTTTCCCTTCAGGTTTGGCAGCAAAATTGACTAGCCTTTGATATCGTCTTGATTCTCAACATCTTCATATAACACTGTCCGGCTGATGTGTGAGAAGTTTCTTCTGGGGGAACTAGTAGTCATCAGCAAAAATCATTCCTATGGCCCACCTCTGGAGCTGCTTCTGATCAAAGGCTCTGCTGATTGAGAGTTTGGATAGCTCCTCAGTTCTGTGTCACTGCTTTTTAATTTTTTTGCCAGACAAGGATGAGGATGGTTTGGAATGAAAGACTTCTCCACTGCAATGCTGAGCAATTGAAATTTTTATTGCACTTATGTGTTTGATATTTCCATGAGCATATGCAAGTTAATAGCACACAACAGAAATTAGTATAAGCTGTGATCTTATTTCTGTTTTATAGAATCAGAAAGGAAGTGTTTTCACTGGAATCCTGGATATCCAGCACTAAATTGTAATTCCTATTAAAGAGTTTCAGGCTTAAGATTCACGCACTATCTTTTTGATATTTGATGACTTATAATTACTTGCATATTATTTTGCCTATGCCTTTAGAAAATCTCCAAGGTCTGTAGGAAACGTTGGGCTAGCCTGCAAGTTCAGTATGGTAGTCATGGCTGCATTTTGTTAACAGGATTCTGCAAGATCGTGGCCTTTCAAAATATCCAAGACTCTTGGAGCAGCTGCTAGAACTGCAGCCAAGTCACAGTTCTCCATACCTGATTGCCTTTTTAGTGGACATATATGAAGACATGCTAGAAAACCAGTGTGAAAACAAGGAAGAAACTCTCAACAAAGCATTAGAGGTTAGTTTTAAAAAAGTTAACGTTTTAAAAAACTGGCTCATTATCCCTTATAATTTTTTTGATAGTTACAACTAGATTATATTACTGTGATTATTCCAAATTCTGGCACATCAAATAAATTTGAGGATAAAATTAAAATGCTATTAAGTTTTTACTTGTACAAAATTTAGAATGATATGCATATATTTGTTCTTCAGAGCCATACCTTCCATGAACATGATCCTAAATAAAGAAGCTTGACGTCTGTATTAAGCAGGCTCTAAGACTGTGCTCTTTGGGATTGTTCAATAAAACATAGTAATTGAAATTTTAAAATCTACTGGGCCACCTTATTTCCTTAGGTGGCAGATTTCCCTAACTAGTGTGTAGGTTTGCTGGTAACAATTTAAGCTCCAGGGAGCATAGTCTAAGGACAGATCTTACTATCTGCTTGTCTGCCTCTTCCCCCATTTCTCAGCATGAAGTGCATGCACCATTCTTTAGATACCTGTTGATGCGAACTGAAAGCTTGGAAATGACACATCTGATTTAAAATTTAAACATTTTGTGTTGAGATGGCAGGAATGCATCACATTTTCAAAAAATAACATTTTGGAAGTAATGTCAAAACATTTAAAATTTTGCTTTCAAAATATTGGTCTTTAGATATACATACCATTTGGCTTTGTCCTCTTAGCCAGATAGAAGTAAAATTTCAACATTAAATCTTGATGCATCATTTCTATGGTGAAATGCATCATGCAAAGGAGCATGCTTGCTACTGGTCCTACTAGCCAAGGGTTTTCTAAGACAAGAGACTATCCAACACTGACAGCTGCATGGCATGGCTTGAACGTTCTGAGATGTATCAGACCAAGAGTGATTCCAGCCTGTGCAAAACCAGATACTTTTGTAAATAAATTGAAATATAGGAAGCCAATTCTGCCCTGTGTAGTACTAACTAGGGATTAAACTTTGGAGAAATCTGATATTAAGAAGCAATTATATTAATATGCTGTATCATGCATTTGCTGTCAGTATTCTTTTTATGCATGACAGTTACCAGTCTGCAGCATGTCAGTTACAATGCAAATACATTGCCTTTGACATCTAAGCTCAAGGGTGTTATATTTTGTGTACCTTCTTTCTCTTCTTATGCCTTTCAAAGCATTTAAGCTTCGTCTCATTTCCATATAATGTTTACTGTACTCTTAGAATTGCTGACTTGCTATTAATGGTTTCTAGCTGGTCAGTATGCTTGAACAGGGGCAGCAGGATTCACAAATGGTTCTTCTAAATTACTGCCTAAATTCAGCATTGTGTTTGCTGCTTTATATTTCGGGAGCAGCTGCTGATTTTTGAGCTTTGGCTATCAGCAGTTCCCAGTGTGGTGTAGTGGACAGAGCAATGGATTAGGACTCGGGAGACCCAGCTTTAAATCCCTGCTCAGCCATGGAAACTCATGGAGGGAGAGTGACACTGATAAAACCATTCCTTAAATACTGTATCTCGTTTACCTTGAAAATTCTATTACATAACACACACATGAGCGGTGGTACGGTTAAGGCACCATTTTCTGCTTAAGAAAGAAAACGGGCAGGGCAAGCAGGAAATCTCTTATTTAGTCTCTATTATTAAGAGGATTGAGTTCATATTTTATTCTGCTATATTATGTCTGTATATTGCTTTGTCAAATTGAAAAGGCCAGATTGGCCACCTTTGGGCTGAAGTGAGTACAGTATTTGAGAAGGAGAAGGTCTTTATATGCATTGATAACCCTCCATACCAACTTACTTTGCACTCCAGACCTGCTTCTGCTTATTCTTTCTGTGTACAATTAAAAAGTAGATTTATGCTCCTCCATTTATAAGTAATAAAGAGGCAAAAAGGAGAAAACAAAAGGGAAAAGAAATGGAGGCACAGCAAAATGTTGTAAGCAGCCCTGAGTAGACATGGTCTAGAGGGGCGGAGTATAAATTTAACAAACAAACAAATAAACAAATAAATAAATGAGGAGTGTGTGGAATATATACTTATTGTAATTGCACATGCTTAGGTTTCTTTATAGTAGGGCATGAAGCCAAGGGCTGAAAGCATAATGCAGAATGGTAAAGGAGAATTATGGGTGTGCTACTTCAGATTGCAGTAGGGTAGATGGGGGCCAAGTTTTTGGATGTGCTGACCATGTAAAACTCCTTCCATATTTCCTTGTTGTTAGGGAGCCAGGAACACCAAGCATTTTTCATTGATGCGATATCTATTACATATGTTAGGAAGGAATCATCATCAAATGCCGCCAAGTCAATTCTGACTTATGGGAAGCCTCTTTGGGGTTTTCCAGGTAGAGAGTCCTCTGAAATGGTTTGTCATTGCCTTCTTCTGGAGGGTGTCCTGGAACTGTACAGCTTGCCCAAGGCCACACAGGCTGATTGTTTTCCTAGGAAGCACAGTGGTGAATCAAACTCCCAACCTCTGGCTCTGCAGCCAGATATCTAAACCATAGTTCTTTCTTTACTTTGCATGGTTCAGCTATGTAGCTAAGAGGCTATCTCCACATAAAAAGAACGCTGGTACTTGGCTGGGCTGATTATTATTTTTAAGAACATTTTTATCCTTTCCTTCCTCTGTCCTCTAGGTTAAAGGCAGCATACATGGGTTGGATCAGTGGTGCTATGATGTAGCTTATCCTAAGGGACAATAACTAGCTCAAAGCCACACAATTATATTTTTTCTTTGTCCAAGCAGGGCTTTTATCCTAGGTCATCCCAGCACTCAGTTCATTACATCAGCCTCCCCCAACTTGGTAGCTTCCAGATGTCCTAGATTGTTGTCGATCAGCATGGGAAGGGGCTGCAATAGCTGGAGATGAGGAAAATGTCTTGATCGGCATATTTGGAAGTCACTGATTGGAGAATAATGTTTTTTGCCATGCTTATTTTCTGCCCTAAAGTTTCAGGATGATGGAGGGTGATCTGGACAATGTGAATTCAGTTAGCATGAAATCAAATGGAAATGCATTTATTGTTGTGGAACTCAGAGTGATTTTCATCATCCTGTTCATTTACTGGCTCTCTTGCTCACTAGTTAAAAAGACGAGTGTGAACAAGTAGTGGCAGTGCTAGACATGACTCCTGCAGCAGCTTTTCTAAGAGCACTGATGTCTGCTTGTTTGTTTATAACATTTCTACCCTATCTTTCTCTGTAAGGACCCAAAGCAGATGACATCATTCAAATACAATATTTAAAGATAAGAACAATAAGTATACAAATATTTTTAAAAGATCAGACAAATACCACAGCAAAAGATGGTAAACAGAAGCAACATCAAAACACATTCAATACAGTAAGGCACAGGAATCTATTTAAGAACCCCACTCAGGCAGCCAGTAATTATGGGAAAGCTTTCTTGAAGAAAAAGTTTCCTAGACAAATAACTGGAGGGGATTTGGTTGTTTTTAGATACAAAAAGAGCAAACACGTGTGTTTTTAAAAAGCAGCTATGCATGTAGTCCCCAGAAGCTTTGACTTGGATTCTACTGTTGAATAGTTTAAAAAATAAAAACTTGTATAACTGTAATACTCTTCTTATTTTATGCTATGCAGTATTGTCTCCCCTGCCCCACAGTAAACTCTCTGGCACCAAGATCTGTATTTGAAAAACAGCACTGCCAAACATTCTGTAAAACATTGTGCATTGAGGGTGATACATAATAAACTGAGTATAACAACGTAACAGCATTTTAAAAACTTGTAATTTTCCTTTCTGTAGTTATGTGAAATCCTGGCTAAAGAAAAAGACGTAATACGGAAGGAGTACTGGAGATACATGGGAAGATCCCTTAAGAGTAAACACAGCCCAAATGAGGAACAGAACATACAAAGTGAAAGTGATCAGCAGTAACTTCACGTTGAGAGGAAAGACTGTTGCATTCAGCTCTGTGTATTATGGAACGTCCGAGGGGGACTGCTAGGCAGACAATTAAATAGTGTTATTTCCCCCTCGTCCCAAAATACTTTGTAACTATACATTACTGAAAAGGTATTGCTTCTAACCACACCAAGAATGCAAAGCGTTCTACATAACAAACTGACCTGTGGTTACTGCTGCTATACGCGTTAGCTGTGGAGTGGTCCAAAGCACTGTGCGTTTAAAAAACACTTAGTTATTACTTGAATTGTACCAAATAAAGGAATTGTTTCTTAACAGTAAATGGATAATGCTATACTAGCAGTTTTAATGCCCTAAATCCATTCCCAGCCTTGACCGCCATAAAGTTGCCCCTGTTCTCATACAGCAAGTGCATGTTAAGATTCTGAATGTATTTGAATTGGATTGTAGAGACCTTGTGTACAGTGGATATCTAGAGTAACTTAATTTCAGTTACTGTAAGGAGAGTATGCAGTTGTATATTGGAGCAGCTATGCAACACTGTTTTCATTGTACCCAACTAATGCCATCAATAATTTGTAATAAAAGTATAGATACTTGTAAAAGAATGGAATGTGTGTTCAGATATTTGCATTTATTGAAAAACATCTACGGAAAACGGATTAAAGCAGGCTTTATGGAAACTTAGGATTCTCAGTGTGGCCCCTTGGTATCCCCATTACATTACCTGCAAGCGCCTGAAACATCTTCAGCCTTAGGAAGTTAGTGATCTTTGATAGCAGTAGAAACTACTGCTGAGTCTTTGTCTGACTTCCTGACTGCCTCCCTGTGGGTAGAACTATTAGCTTCCTGGAGTTCTGTGCACATAGAAAAGTGTGTGCCCATGTGCACACGGTCACATCATGTTTGGTTGGTTTATTGACACTTTTCAAGTATTTAATTTTTTTTTCTCCACATTAGTGTCTGAAATAGAATTGATAATTTTACAGTGTGGCCAAGAGTATTTTGGACAACTTTGGGGTGGTGAAATTGGCTGTTTCGTTTTGAGAGCAAAACACTTGACTCTGATGTCAATCTTAAGTGGTAGTTAACACATACATACTCATTAGTATAACATTAAATGGTGACTTCCATGTGTGAATTTACCTTCACGGATTATTAACACAAAAGGTATATTTATTTCAACTTGCAACACTGGTTTTTCAGCAGAGCATGTCATGCATTCAGCCAGGTGTCAAATAGAGACATATTTGAGTGAAGCAGCTTTACTTTTTTAAAGCACCAGTTGGTTTTTTGCATTTCTAAAGTGCTGACCCCTGTTAACAGAAGCATTTCTGCCTTCTGAGACACTTTTATTCCTATTTTCTAATATTTGGATATTCACTCTTCTGATAATGAAGCTTTGAAAACTTTAGCAAAGGTCACCAACTTAGAAATTTCAGACCATCTTGGAATGTATCATTTAGACATGTCTCCATATTGGAAAGAAAAATACTGTAACTTCGAACAAGTGGCCATTCGCAGTGGCTTCATTTGCCCAGGGCAAACCAAGGTTTTTGCTTATTATGAGTAAACAGCATAGTGTCTGGTTTTGCTTTGCACAAGCATATAAAGCTGGGAAGAGTTAACTTACTGTAGTTTTTGAAACCAGTATTCTAGCTGGTTGCCCTCAAAGAGGCTAGGCTGAGCAACCTGAATTACGCCTGCCTATGACCCTTCATGGTTTGGGACCAACAGATTAGATCCCAGGGGCATATGTCAGAGTAGGCAATCCTTTTCTCATTTCCCCTACTTGTGTAAAATACCTGTATACACAACATGCTACAGTACTTACATTTAAGCCAGGAAATCTCCCTTAGTGTTCTATGTAAGATAAATTACCCTGTTTATCTGTCTCCACATTTTACTACATTAAATAGGACACCAAGCTAGAGTGAAGTCTCTTATCTCTGGGTTACAATATAAGCAACTTCTCAGGCTTTATCTTGGTAAGAGTTTAGCGGTGAGAAGGATACAGGTGAGTTGGGAGCTGGGTAATTTGGATCTTTTAGGAATAATTTTGTCTTGAGTTCCCAGAGTTTCATGTGTCCTAAGAGAAATACAGGGATACTGTTGCAGTCAGGCTGAATTACCCCTGCTCTGTTATAACATGTAGCACAATCTATCATCTGTCCTGGTGACATATGCAATACAATGTACTTCAGCATCATTAACAAGCATTCTTGGTAGCTCCTACTGTGATGTGGACATGGAAGGAAAGCATCTGTTTATAAGCCAAGAAGACCAAAAACCTAGAGCTACTTAATGTATTGTATAAAATTAGGAGGCTGCCATATATTGTGGAATCAGTTTCAGTTGCTGGAACTTTGAGAAAAAGGATAAAATCTTTGCAGTATTGCATCTCATTACATGGCCAGGTGGGACGAAGTGAATGCTTTTTCTATTAAGAACTAATGTCTGCTACCCAAGAAGGAGTCAAGAGATTGCTCTTAAAAATGATCTTTAACTTCATGTTCCTCAACAATTATGATCCAGTTTTAAATACTTTTTTGTCTGAAGATCATTGATAGTTGTGAGGATGGCACTGCACACAATTTTGGATGGCACCTATTATCTAGACCCATTTTAGTCTTGGTTCAGACCTGATATCTGGTTGCCCTCCAGGATGATCTTTATCAAGAAAGCATGGGAGTGAACACTCTTCCTTGTGTTTCATACTACTCAACATGGTTTCTCTTTGGATCTGGTGCTTCAGTTACTCTTCTCCTACCTAGAGGGTATGTTCCAGAGAGCAGCACTGGAAAATTATCTTCCTGCCTCCTAGCAGCTCTGCTGTGAGTTGCCACCAATACCATAATACAGTATCTGAGATGCAATTTAATATATAATTATCAGTTACTCTTCTCCTACCTAGAGGGTATGTTCCAGAGAGCAGCACTGGAAAATTGTCTTCCTGCCTCCTAGCAGCTCTGCTGTGAGTTGCCACCAATACAATAATATCTGAGATGCAATTTAATATATAATTATTGGGAGTGATCACCAGGAATTCTGCAACAAAATGTAATCAGTCTTGTGCAGAAACCTGTTTTTCTATCACACCAGAGTCAGGTACAATGGTGCAGGTTTGGGATCAGTCTCTGGTTGTAGGAATGGGCTGGCATGAGGGCCAATAAATAGAGGGAAAAGTCTCAACTTGTGGATGGGTGGTCTCTTGCAGATTACCTGTTATGGATGAAGTTGCACTCCCTATGAAGGATTACGTGTACAGCCTTGGTGTACTCTTCAATCCCTTTCTTTCCTGAAGGCTTAGCTGTCTTCAGTGGTTTGGAATGCTTTGGCTGGTGCAAGAGTTACAACTCTTTCAGGTCAGAAACAACTTGGGTGCAGCAGTCCAGGCACTGGTAACCTCTGGACTACTGCAGTATGCTCTGTATGGAGTATCCTCAACTTGAGTTTAGAAGCTAGAGCTGATGCAAAATTATTTGGTTAAGACTACCAGCTTGAACATTGCACCTCTGCTGAAGAATACTGTCTACAGTACTTATTTGCTACTGGGCCAGGTTTAAGGTTGTTGCTCATTTATAAAGCTTTAAATTACTTAAGACCTGATTGCTTGGAAACTGCCTTCTCCCTGACAGACTCACCTAGTCCTTCAAATTACTTAGTTATTTGAGCAGGTGGTCAGTGCTCTGGCACCTTTCATGTGAAATATGACATGCATCGACAATTTTTAATTAAAGATTACTTAAATTTAGTTAAAACTAACATTGAAAATATACCAATTTGTGCAAGCTTTTCCCAGTTGGTCCAATTGCATGTTTGTGTGCTTTCATTATTTTGGCATACTGCTTTGAAAATTTCAGATCTAAATACTACATCTTTGTAAATAAATAAAGTACTACTTCCGTGCTAATTTTAATGTGCATTTCTGTCCTTTATACCAATGACATCTTTAACAAACTACCATTCTTCTGATATTTTGGGCTACATCTTTCATCACCACTCATCATTGGCCATGAAAGAGGGAAGGAAGCTTTATGGAAGCTGTAGTGAGAACATTTGGATGACACCAGGTTGGGGAAGACAGAACAAAATTAATCAGTGTAACATTTAGGTGCATTTCTGATAGAAGTGGCTTTCTGCTCAAGTATTTCTGTCAGCTGGCAAGTTAGTAAACTATCAATAGATACAAATACCTGCTATATTTTAAATTACGAACAAAATATGATTTATGAGCAAATTTAGTAAGAATAATTTCTGTCTAGTCTGTCTTCAAAATGTCATAATTTTATGGGAATGGGAATAAAATTAATGACAGCACATTGTCACAATGAATCAAGAAAACATGTTGCTCCTGAATTTGGATATGAGCTTACTTTAAATTTAACAATTGTTTTCCTGTTTCCTCAATACTTTATTCTTCAAATGGGCTATAGCTTTCCATGTTTGTCAATGGTGATGAAATCCCATCATTGTCCCTTAGTAATCATGGTGACCACTTCCATTTAGTTGTATGAGATCATGCTGTTTGTAACATAGCTGCTATTATTTCAAAGATTGAAGCAAAAATAACCTTGGAGATGGCCATTTTCTAAATTGTATGATTAGGATACTGGGCAGGAAATCACTGGTGGGAAGGGGTGGTGCTGGGGTAGTGTAAAGGGAGCAGGAAAAGAATGGAAGGGGAAGAAATTACAAACCTGTGAAGAAATGTGCATTGCTAAATTTGTCGGCATATATATGTAGGTGCACATAAAATGCAAAAAAAGAGGAAAGAATGTAGATTAAATGGAGATGGAGAAAATAAAGAAAAATATAGAACAAATCTCAGAAGAGTAAAAAATAATTATTGGCAAAAGAGGGGGGAATGAGAACAGTAAGAATTGAGACTTGGAAATAAAATTAGGAAAGTTTAATTAATAAAATAAAAGGTGTATATTTCCCTGTGGTCCTGAAGATTACATTTCAAAATTCAAATCTTATTAAGACTAGCTGCAAACATATTTATCTGCATGCAATTTATAAATCATCGGGTTTTATTTATAAACAAAAATGAATGTGATAGAAATAGGCTAATGTTAAACAGGAGTAGGGAACCTCCAGCATGTCAGGTTTTTTTGGACTTCTGGTCCCAGAAGCTCTAGCCATTACGGCCATTGGTAAAGTGCTATAAAAGCTGTGCCTCCCCCAAAACTGGAGAACCAAAGTTCTGGGATTTTGACTATGTAGGTGTTGGGGCACATGAAAAACAAATATTTATTCCTAGTAAGTGGTAATGTTTTATCTTTATAAGAGAGAAAAAAATCTATTGATTTGTGAAACTTGATAATAAATAAGGATAATGAGATAAGTATTACTCAGAAAGTATTACTCTCTCAGTAGTTCGCATGAAAAGCTTGAACAGCTTATGTGAGAATAGCAAAATATGATTCAAACATTGTTGAAATAGGTTTGGGGTGTGATTCACAAATAATTCGGATCTGCAGACTTAAAATGAAAGAAGAAATAACACATTAAAACAATGTATGTGGAATCATGAATTTATTTTTTCCTTATTTTCCAAAGAATGCAAAATGTTGCATTCTCTTGGCAAAATTAGAGTGCATGG